TTGTGTTGATATAGAGGAATCCAATTGTTTTTTATTGATTATAATTATATTTTAAAAAGACGTAAATGTATAGTATCAATTACAAACATTTTAAAAAGCAATTATGTATTTGTTTTTATCTTAATTAACATAGTTCATTATTTTATGCATAAAAGTATTAAAGTATTATTATAAAATCATTATAGTTTTATATTAATTTTTTAATTGTAGAAGATAGCAAAATATTGTACAAAATCTTTTTCTTATACATAAAATATTTTATGTTTCAATTTTTGTATTGATTTTATGATAATTTTTTGGAAGATTAAAACATAAACTGTGTTAATGAATCTTAATAAATTAATTTTTTCTTGTACTGTATGTGACATATTTTGATATAGAGTGCATTCAGGGAATTCACTACCAGTGCTATGTAGCGCTACCGTTGTTCAGGGAACCAACTGATAGCATTATGAAACACTATATTGTGACGCTATTGTTGGTAGCGTTTGGACGTCATGACTCGCACTACGAAGGCTGTGTTCCAAAATTGTTTGTCAGCGCTGCAAACACGTCGTCATAAGTGCATGCTACTAATAGTGTTCCAATTTCATAAGCATGCTTTTCATGCAAACGCAGCTTTCATTTTGGAACGATATTTTCAGGGGTGGAATTACGCCTGATCATAATCGCTATAGTCTCCTTGCCCCTCTCCACACCTTTCCCAGATGTTGTTAAGATCGGAATTACGTCGAGTTGCTATTGCTTAAATCCTTTTTCCCTCCTCATACTGGTCGCATAGAAATATAGCAACTAGTCAGAAGGTATCACTACGCACATTACGATCGCTTATTTTAGGTTATAACTTTAGGTTATAATTTTTTTAATGTAGTATAACGTGCCGTCAACCGTATTATCTTTTACGGTTTCTTGACACCTAATAATTTTTGTTTATTATCCTTAGTAGTCAGGTTAATTTTATGATAACTATAAAATTGAAAAGGTACGTACGTTTTAATTAAATAAGACAAGACGATCAATATTAAATTTTCTGTGTATGGGCGTGTGTGTGTGTGTGTAATTATCTTTCTAAAAAAAATTATAATTAATGATTATTAAAAAGCATTACGAGGTTAAGTTATGTCAATTAAACTTTTTTAAATTTTAGATGGCCCGTATGAAAGTACAAAATAAACATTGGGAGTTATTTTTAAATTTTGCCGAACAACACCCAGAAATTCTGACTGGAAAATTTACATCTGCAAATGCTAAGCAAGCTCAACAAAACCTATGGCAAACTGTTACTACACAATTAAATGCATTAGGATTGGGTGAAAAGACTGCAACAAAATGGAAAGAGTCTGTGATCGATTGGAAATGTAAAACTAAAAAGAAAGCCAGTGAATTGAGACTGCATATGGGTAAAACAGGAGGTGGAGGAGTTTCTACAAAAAAATTATCAGATATTGAAGAGAGATTATTATCAATAATAGGTATGACTGCTATCGAAGGAGATATTGGTTTGGAAGAAGTAGGGCTTCCAATGCATAATGAAGAACATATAAACATATTGACAGCTGACATTGAATATGTAATTAATGCACTTCCTATAGAATATAATGAATCAATATCCATAACAGTCACACCTATAATAGTAACAGTCACATCTACAGCAACATGCAGTCTCATCTATAGTAACATCAGCAACAATAACATCTACAGTAACGTCTGCAACAGTCACACCTATTGTAACATCCGCAGTATCAATTATACTCGTAATGCCCACAACATCAAACGCAAATCCTAATAGGAAAAGAAAAAGAAATCAAACGCCTAATTTACAAATTCAAACAAATTTGTTGGAAAAATATCATGATGAAACTTCAGGAAAAATGGATGACATAGTAACTTCATTAAATCAAAATACGGATGGAGCTATCCTCCTCGGCAGAGGACGCTCCACCCCCGCGTAACCGCAAAACCCCCCCCGCCCCAGAAGGGGACGGGGAGATCTTCGCAGATGCACACTCTAAGCCCAGGGCGCCTGCGGTGCACGCCCTGAAGAGGTTCTTCCAGTCGTCGGATGACGACGAGGGGGGGTGGGCCTGGAATCCAGCCCCACCCCGCCGACCGCTGAGGGATCCGAAGCCCCCTGCGGTCGTAAACTGCTCATTAGTCTTAGTCATTGTGCTAGCCGTCCATGTTGGGGTTATTTTACAAGCTACCCCGAGCCGGGTTCTAAGTTTTCCTTCTGAGTCGCTGTTGACCAATTCACTTAATGTGATTACACATGTTATGAGTATAAGAAAACATGTTTGTTTTGAAAAATTAAAATATTATTTGTATATTATGTGTACTTATCAATATAAGAAAACAAGTTTATTTCTTTACAGTACAAAATGTATGTTATCGTATTTAATCAAAATAATAAAGATATGTAGTATTATATTGGAATTCTTAAAAAAATTTACTTTATTTTTTAACTTTAAAACTAATTAAAGTATCTACGAATTACATTGTCTCTGATCCTTCTACCTTCCACTAAATTATCAAAATTTTGAGCAATTACATGTTCGTTTCTAATATTTTCAATGTTTGGTATGTCCAAGTTGTTCTCAGGTAATCTATACTGAATGCAAAGATTATGTAAAACCGTACAAGCAACTACTATCACCCCTACATAATAAGGGCTATATCGTAGTCCTCTCTCTCCTAGAATGCAACGAAATCTGGCTTTGAACACACCAATGCAACACTCTACACGACTTCTTGCAGAACAATGCCTTCTTGTGTACTGATCTTCAGGAGATCCAGGTACACTATCTAAAATTGGTGTTAGAAGCCATGGTTGTGATGGATAACCTGAATCCCCTAGCAACCAAGATGAATGATCTCCTCTTTCAAAACATCTTTTCAAGTATCTGTAAATATTGGAATTTCTCCATATATATGAATCATATGTTGCTCCTGCATATTGTACGTTGATACTAGAAATTTTTAAGTTGCTATCACAAATCTGTAAAATAATGAAGTTTAATAAAAAATATTTGCCATAAAATATCTACAATAAAATATTTATAATAAAAAATATATTCACAAAAAATGTTTAAGTAAAATATTTACAATTTGTACATTTTTCGAATGAAATCCCTTCCGCTTAACATAGTTGTGCTCTTTAATTGAAGGTGCAAGGATTCGAATATGAGTGCAGTCTATTGCTCCTATTACACCAGGGAATTGAGTGTTTTCCATAAATTGTTGTTTAACAATTTGTTTTTCTACAGCTGTTGTTGGAAATTTTATGTATTCATTCCGTAGATGAGTATATATAAGTTGCGATACTTCCTTTACACAATTGGAAACCGACGACTGGCTTATAGAAATATTGTAACTTTGTCCGATTAATCGTTGATAGCTTCCAGTAGCATAGAATAAAAGTGCTGTGAATATTTTAGTTTCTGCACTTAAACTATTTGGATGTGGATTTATGTTCATGTGTGGTGCCAAATGTTCAATTAAAAAATGCACAAATTCCTTTGACAAACGAAACGTACTAATAAAGTGTTTGTCGTCTAATTCGAATGGGCTTGAATTATTTCGCATCAATCTCCTTTGAATATTAAAATCACGCAGATTTCGTTGCCTTTCAATTTCTTTCAATTCTTCTAGCATGAGGAGATTTAAGGCATCATCTAAGTGATTAAAAGAAAATTATTCATTCATGTACAATAATATATAATATGTAGTAGTACTTTACCTTTATTTCTTTTCGAAATAGCCAGTACAAAATAATATAAAAAAAAAGAGTTGCCTGAAACGATAAACGTCTAACACGACGTATAATGACGATTTCTTAACCCCAAATAGCTTTTTATTATTTAAGGTTAAGAAATTATCATCATATGTCGTTTCAGACGACTCTCTAACAATGTTGCCATATACTCTTGGTCGCTTTGTCCCGAACTTGGCCGAGCAAATGTCGACCATAGTATTCCGATTTGACGTGCTACCGTTAAGAGTTGAAATCGACATTGTTCGGTCGCTTGCCGTAGCAATTGCGACTTTTCTAGTCGATCTGGCATAATTTGGCCCCAGTGCTGTCAGCATATAGCGACGTCAGCGAAAAGAAACAAGTAACCTAGAAATATGGAGAGAAGCATACAGAATAATAGTATAATAGTAATGAGGAAGTTAAGGAAGTTAAGGAAATGGTATATACCATTGATGTTTCGAGGATAGTCAAAAACTAGTTTGTTCATAGATGGAATCAGATTTGTAGATTGTTAAAC